AGAAGGAAAGCTCACGTGTTGCTTAGATTAATGGGGAGGTCAATCTTACAAAAAATGAATCAGTTATAAAATCAGGAGATGATGTGAAGGGTGTTAAACACATAATGTATCAAAAAAGAAATATGCAGCTAAGGAGATAGCGAATGGTGATTCCAATAGATGTTATATTCAACTATTTAATGTGTTTAAAGTATTATCATGATACATATGTTCGGCTTTTTTAAGTTCATTGCTAGGGTGCACCTCTGAGAAATTTGCTTTATTAATTAATGTAGTAGCGCAATACATATATTTTTTCCAGAAGTTAATAGCAAGTGTATGCATTTGAAGTTTTTTTGGTTATTTGTTAGTTATGCAGTGCTTGAGATCCTCTTTAGCATTGATCTCAAAATATATGATAATTTTATATATGTTTGGTAATAAATATGATTAATAAATATATGTTTAAAAATATAATTTTATAAGAAAGGCAACATTTTACAAGGGTTGTTGCAGGAGCCACGCATGAAAAGTGTGGCCTATAAATTATCAAAGGCCACATTTTGAAAGTGTTGTTTAGTACTTGAAAAATGTTGCTATAAGGGTTATGTACAAGCGTGGCCTTTGTACCTTACAGGCCACACTTTTGAAGCGTGGCTTCGAAAGAAACACTTGAAAAGCTAGCGTAGCCTTAGGCAAAAGGTTACGCTAGTTTCGGCCACCCCCTCAAAAGCGTGGCCTTAAGTCGAAAAGTGTGGCCTTTGATCAAATGCTATACTTATTGATAGCTTAGGCCACATTTTTCAGGGATAGCTAAAGGCCCAAAATGTTGTACTATTGTATGGGGAATTCGCTGCTGATAGATCTCGCTCAGTGTTCCCCTCCTTCCCCTGCCGCTTTCCGACCCCTGGGAGTATACAATGACAATGTTGGGGCATGAGTGCTCGATTGCGAGACTACCTGTTGAACGTTCGATGGCACCTTGCTCCGACCTGAGCTATATATGCAATAATGAATCTCCCTTGATCCTTGCCGTATGTGCTTGACGGCCCCCCATAAGACGCTCACTTAGGGACTTCTTATTCCAGCTGTTCCAAGAGTCTCCGCTAGTTGAACCGCGTCCAGTAGACTCCCTGTTCCGCTCTTCCCCTCTGTCAGCTCTTTGATCAGGATGTTATTACCTAGGTTCCTAAACTTTAAAGGGATGGCAGAGCACGTAGGTGGCAACCAATTATATGGATACGTTGCTTTACCCGTAGAAGCTTCTCCAGCTCTCGCAAGAATTGTATGGGAGTCGCCCTCAAAGGGACTTCCCAAATGACCGTAGCGAGGAATTCTATCCTTTTGCCATTTCCTTGCGCTAGCTATCCACTCCTCTTTTCACTATTTTCTCATCGTCATTTCAATTTCTTTTCTATTCTAATTCGAATTCCAGTTGTGGAATCTGTCTTCCTTCTTTGGCTAATTTTTCTTTATTAATTATCTAATAGACTTCTCTCTTTAGATGGATTTTGCTTTTCATAATGTTTGCTTATGATTTTTCTTTTTTTCTAAAGCGGCATTCTCCCTTCTATCTATCTTTAATTGAATTATGGAACTTTCTCCCCGAGCTGCGGAACTAACAAGTCTATTAGAAAAATGAATTAGCAACTTTTATACCTATTTTCAAGAGGATGAGATCGGTCAAGACCAGAGTAACCTATAAGAAAATATGGTAGGAATACCCGGAACCTAGCTCTATCGGAACTTACCTCAGCGACTTTCACTTCCTATCGGCTTCGGACCGAAAGAGAGTGAGATGGAATCCAGAAGAGATAAGTCATTAGGCAATCTTTCTAAGAAATTTCAGTCATTGTTTTTTTTCAATTTTTCCATATTTGGTTGGCTTAAATGTTTTGGAAAACAATTTCCTCATAAACTCATTTTCCCAATTGAAAGAAAATGTTTCCCTATCAAGAGAAGAGAAAACATTTTCCAAAAACTCTTTTCAACCTTTCTCACCCTATTCCCCATCCCCACCCCACTCACCCCCACCCTACCCAACCACCACACTACACCCCACCACCGCCAACCCTCACCCACCACCCAACCCCTTACCGTGCCCTCATCCCATCCTAAATAGAAATATTATTAAGAGAACTTTTTTTCATGTTATAGATAGAGTACTTTCTTTTTCATTTCAACAAAATGAGTATTTTCTTTTCATGATGTAGAAAATATATATTATTCCATTTCAATAAAACAAGTATTTTCTTTTCATGATGTAGAAAAGTATTTTCTTTCATTTCAACAAACTGAGTATTTTCTTTTCATGATGTAGAAAAAGTATTTTCTTTCACTTTAACAAAATGATTACTTTATTTTCTTATTGTAGAAAGAGTACTTTCTTTTTCAACAAAAAAGTATTTTCTTTTCAGTTATGGAGCTCAAATTTCAATGTTATTCTTGTGTGAAAAGTAAAGCAACACATTAATTTCTTTGGATTTGTGTGAATTTTCAGAAGAATAATAAAATTATTGAAGAAAATAGAGTCCTGAAAACATTAAATATTTGAGCGGCGGGGGAGGGGGGAGGAGCATAGGAAACATGGAGATTTGGGGGAAAAGGGGGAATGAGGAGAGTAACATAAAAAAAATATTTTCTAGGGGAAGGGGGGATGAGGAGAGTAGCATAAAAAATATTTTCTACTCTCTAACCAAAAACTATAAAATATTTTCCGGATAAGTGATAAAACCACTCATTTTCTAGGAAAATATATTCCATGGAAAACATTTTCCTTCATACCAAACACACCCTTGAAGTTTATGGTTTCTAAAATTATCGTCGTACTGGATTCGCAATTAAGTATTTATATATTTAGGTAATTTCTTAATACAAATACAAGGTATAAGCAAAAGCTATTGGGTTCGCCTGAACCCATATCTACTTCTCTAACTCCGTCTATAATTTCATTGTACCTAGTAACTTTAGTCCAAACGTAATATTTGTATTAAGAAATTCACTAAATACATGTACAAAAATTAAATTAAAAACTCAGTTACTAACACTTGATGTTAATGCCCGAGAATTTTAAATCCATAAAGTTCAAATCCTAACTCTGTCTTTGTACATAGTACAATTTTTGGTTAAGCCATGTCGTACTAGACTACTAGGATACTATCATTACGCCACTAAGGGTTCTATCTTTAACCAATCATATTTTGTGTTCGAGTCTTAGGAATGAAAAACTTCTTGATAGAGAACGATTTATCTTTTTTTATGGGCGAACCAAAATTAATTGAACCAGTGAATTTCAAATACTAGATGGTTGAAAGAAAATAGTACTATTAATCATTGCGAGACAAAGATTATCAAGGAGTAGCTGGACTGAACCCTAAACAAAATGTACAGCTATTGTACGGAATAAAACTTAGCCAGCTAAACTGAAATGGAACTTTGTTAAAAACAGGCAAGAGCCAAGAAGGAAGTGATTAGGCCTTATCACGTTTAACATTTGTCCCTAAAAGGAAAACACCCAACACAACAAAAGCTACTTTTCATTTTGCCATGCACACAGCTTGATCTCACTCTCATCCTTCATTATATTATATACTCTTGAAAAATTATTTAAAAGTTGAAAACATATTGTACAATAAAGAATAATTAGCTAGTCAGGGGCGGAGCTAGTGTCTAGGTTACGAGTTTGGCTGAAACCATTAATTTTGGTCCAAACTTTACATATGTCTTTCAGTGTATAAAAAATAAGGGCAGCCTGATGCATAAAGCATCCCGCATCCATGCAAGGTCCGAGGAAGAGGTGTGAAACCTACCGTAATGCTGGCGTTATTGGCTGCTTCCGCGGCTCAAATCCTTGACCTTTAGGTCATACGGAAATAACTTTATCGTTGCTCCGGGGCTCCCCTTCAAGTAGTTTAATATATACGTACGAAATATTAACTAATAATTCAGTAACTTAAAAATAAACTACAAATATTGGAATAAGAATAGAACCACTTTTCAGCCGCTGAAAATTGATTTTACCATTTGCTTTTCAACCCCATTGGGAAGTGGACATTTATATTTAACGTTACAACTAAGAAATACCCAGAAATTAGAGATCTATAGCTAAATGCGACGAAAAAAATATGGGGCTAGGGAACAACTTTTCTTGGATTAAGGAAACCTTGTTTCTTGAAAATAATTAAGGAAATCTTGTCTAAGCTCGTTTGGTTGCTGGGATTATTAATTAATTAAGAGAATAATTCCGATGTAAAATTCAGCATTATTTTATACTTAGCAATGCCGGAATAAAACAAGTAAAATGAAAAATTGTTTCATTTTAATGCAATGAACTAAACAAAACATAGGTACTTAATAATTTAGGAATTATATATTAACACAAGACTACAATTTTTACATTATAAACGGCAGCCCGGTGCACAAGGTATCCTGCATTTACGCAGGGACCGCATCCCAAAAAATATGATGTAGACAGACCTACCTTAATTCAAGCATTAGTCGTTATTTTTACGGCTCGAGCCAGTAACCTATAGATCAGACGGAGAAAGGGGCGATGTAGTTTGTTAGGAATGGTTTCAATCGAACCCATTACTTTCGACATGGAGCAAAGTTTTATGTGTAAAAATTCATTAAAATTACAAAAATAGTATATATGAACCCATAACATTAAATATATAATAGGTTCAATACTAAAAATCTTAAAAGTTGAACCCATAGAATTTAAATTTTGGATCCGCCTATGGACAAAGACAACTTTACCGTTGCTCCAAATCTCCCCTTCTATTTTTACATTATAATTCATGCATAATTTTGTTTGGAAATCGAGGGTTAACTTATGTAATAGTTGGGAAAAAACCATGTTGGCTTTTACGAAAATTCCCCATGGATTTTAAATTATACTAACAAAACACAATTAGAAGCTGAAGAAAAAAGAGTAAAAAATAAAGAAAGAAGAAGAGAACGCCTCTTCACCGGCCCACCATATTCTGTCCCCATTGCTATATAAATAGAACAAACATGTTAGCTTTCTCTGCACCAAAACGTTCGCTACATCTTCTCTTTATATACATTTAATTCTTCCTTGTATTTTTATTAATTTTTGCAATTATAACCAAAAAAAATGGCCTCAAATTCAACGTGGACACACCAGCAAAACAAGTTGTTTGAGAATGCATTGGCCATTTATGACAGGGAAACACCAGACAGGTGGCGTAATTTGGCCAAAGCAGTAGGTGGAAAATCTGAGGAAGAAGTGAAAAGACACTATGAAAAACTTGTTGAAGATATTAAACACATTGAATCTGGAAATGTTGCTTTGCCTAATTATAATAAGGCAAATAATGGTGGTCATAGCAATTATAAAGGCTATAATTTCATGGATGAAGAACAAAGGTACGTAAATTAAATAACAACCTCACAATGTTATCAATTAAATATCTATTTCCTCGATTTTGTGAACATTGCATGTAGTCATGCTGACCTGATAGTGTAAAAATTATTTTACCGATTAAGATTTTTACTCGTCGTATACATATATATATATATATCCTTGAATAGAGATTCAAACATGTTATTCCATGTAGAAATGTATACGACACATTCGTTAGTCTTCTTTACTCATATATTATAAGTACATTCAAAACCTTTACTTATTTGTGTTTCTTACACTTGAACTGTTTCAATATGCAAACCACGTAAAAATATGTGATGATAAATAGTATATAAGCTACCTCTTGGCATGGGCGGAGCTAGGTGGGCAGAAAGGGTTTAACCGATCCCCCTTCGCTGAATATTACACTGTGTATATAAGGTTAAAAATAATTCATGTATATATATTAGATGTTGAATCCCCTTAGCTTCTTCACGTGAAAATCATGCTTCCGCCATTGCCTCTTAGATTCTCTTATGATGAGTTGGGATTAAATTCTTCTTTCTTTTTTTCTTCTTACTTTTTGGACAGGCTGAAGTATTTGAAGCTCCAATAAAAGCAAGAAACAGTGAAGTACATTATATTATTCAGAAGGACCTATTTTATATGAGCAGTGGAACTCCAAATGCAGAAAACAAATAAGAGAAGGATATATTTTATATGAGCAGTGGAACTCCAATAAAAGATTATTTTGGTTTTCATTGTTGTGTTGGATAAATTTCCTTTAATAGCAACTATATATACATTCCAAATATAATTGTCCATGTTGTGCTACTGTTATAATGGATTCCATGTTACAAATTTGTTCCTCTTTATGATCTTATCTGGACATTGGATGAGAACGCTCATTAATTATAAAAAGGGGAAATTAAACCCGGTACACAAATCATCTCGCATTCATGAAGTGTTCTGGGAAATGCTGCACCCCTAAAGGTGTGATATAAACGGTCAATCCTAATGCAAGTATTAGTGGCTCCTTCTACTAATATTCAAGAGAAAATCAAAATCGACATTCAACTTTGTTTTTTAGAGCGCTTATGCGTTGCGTTATTTACCTTATACGCTCCAAGATAGCCTCTTTCACACTTTGTGCACTGAATAACTTTTCTTTTTAATATTTCTTTTGAAAATTTAAGTGCAACTTATACAACATTTTTGCTCTATATTGTTATTGGTGTTGTTATTCTTATTATTATTATTATGGCTATCTCTGTGTAATATAAGTCAAAGATGAGCTTACGTCAAAAGAATTTATATTGCAGACCCCATCTTATTTGTAATATATGAACCTTATGAGTATTTTATGTACTTATGTGTAGCTCTTGTGAACCTTTTATGGTTCTAGTTTTTCTTCAATAACTTTTTGCATTTTAGATTACATTGTATTAGTATTAAAAAAAAAAGAATATGAAAAAAGAAATGGATCAAGGGAATTTTAGTAATTCAATTGGTTGGCTATTTTAACTTTCACTTTATTTATTGGTAAGGATTTGATTCCCACCTTGTAATGGATTATAATAAAAGAAATAAGTAAAACTCACCACCTGCTACCCACCTGAGGTATTAACTTCTACACCACCTTGCGCCTTTGCCTTATGAAAAAATTGCAACTAAGATTTAAACCTTTGCTTAATTGGGATGCAATAAAATAAGCCATAACCAATTATACCATCGGCAATGAGATGTAAACTGAGAGGATATCTTAAAGTACAACAAAATAAAAGTCATTAGATGCCCATTACTAGCTGATAAGCATAGGACACATCTAGTACATGAAATATCATTTATGATCTTTGAGTAAACATTTGGATTACATCTTAGAGATCACTGACATAGAACTCAAATTCATGATGTCACTATGTCATAAATAGGAATGAGGTCGGACCAACGGAAAACGACTATATCTTAGTCGTAAACAAGTTAGGGTCGACTAATGAGGTAGGACCACGCCCAGAAAAATTCAAGTCATATTAGAGAACCTCCTTTATAAGTCGTTCAGTGAGAGCTTTTGGGAGACCCATCACGCTATCAGTTGAACCAACCTGCCCAGATAAAAACCATCTAACAAATTATTACAAGTCATAAATATACAGAAACAAGAAAAAATAAATGAGTGAAACATGGTATATGCAGAATATTTGACATCAGATGCTAAAAGAGGTTTGGAAGGTCTTTTGGGAATGCTTAGCTGCTAGAACCAAAAGAAACTTTTCCATCAGAAGGAAAGAAAGTTCTATTCCTCAAGTTTCTTAGAGTGGTTGGCAACCAAGTCACAGAAGCATTTCATTAAGGCTGTGGTACTTCTTGTTCTTTAGAGGACTTTTGGTGCTTAGTAAAATCAAGTAAAAGGTGTGACATTGTCTAAAGCCTAAATTTTTATGGAAAGGCACTTCCAAAAGGTATCTTTAATAGTACATTTTATAGAAACGACAAGTTCCTTTCACAATTAACCAAACACTTTAATATCCTTTATATGCTGTAAGACACTCGTAGCTCTATCATGCCTTATGCAAAAACACCTTCTCGAAACTCTAAAGCAGCTTTTTCATAGACCTAATGAGCATATCGGCTTCTTCTTGACAAGAGCCACTGGGAAGCATTCCTATACCTATCAGGACAAGAATTGAATTGGATTTTATTCCGGGCTGAATATACACAATCTGAGTATCCTGCCTTAAATAAAAATCAGTGAAGTTCTTTCATTCGGTCAGGTATTCCAGAGATATTCTGTCCCATCATTTTATTTTTGTTGCATTGGCATCAATGGCTTCACGAAAGTTTAGGTCTCTATAAGGATGACGGGTCAAACAAACAAATGTTAACACCATCACAACTATGACTTGTGTTGGATGATAGTTGAGAGAAAGGTGGCGGTTACACTCACCACTTCCTTAATACAAGGCAAAATAAGAGGATGTTCAATTATCAAGCCACCAGCTGCATAAAGAACTATCCCTTCCTCAATCTGATCAGGAAAAAGAAAAGATATTAAGACAACAGACTACAGCATGCATCAACTGACAAGATTAATAACTAACAATTCAGCTGAAAGTTATACCAGCTTATCTATAACTTGATCTGGTATGTCATGGAAATAGATCTGCAACCAAAAGAATGTTATTGCTCTTTCTGGATGAGTGAAAATAAAAATAAACGAGATTATGCTGAAAATCACAAGCAGTTAAGGTACACAAATAACTAAGCGGAAGGTATAAGAGGGATAAAACAAAAAGGGTCTCTCTTTCTCTAAAGATTCACGAGTTTAACCTCCCATTAACACAAACAATCTCACTCTGGCGAACCTTCCATCTCCAACTCATTGAAAGTCAGTTCAAATCACAACCACCAAATCAATTAGAAACTCTTTGATCACTGAGCATATTGTGGAAGGATTTACGGCAGCTTTCCGAAAATCTGCACTTAAATATATAAGAAATTGCATTGACTTTTCGGAAGAGGATGAACGGGAAAAGGTATGGTGGACTTCTTAATTCAGGTGGAAAACAAAAGTAAAGGTACAAATGGTACTTCCACTATTAGAAACCATTAGCTGCAGCATTGAGCTTGTGCTGCAATCCAAAATTCACAACCAGGATAATGAAAAATATACCCTTAAGGCCTTAACCACTTCAGCAGATACGTCTTGAAAGAACTTACGCAATCAGAAAGAGAGCCACTAATGATTATGATCTACACTTAGGTAACATGTTATAACACTTAATGATTAAATAAGCCAAACAGGATATAGGCAATTTTCCTGATTTAAGACAATAAGCAAATGTAGTGGATATCTGAATGAATCTAGCAAAAGGTCAAGCATTCTTGAAGGCAAATGCAAGTGTAAAAACTCAATAATTTCATCACTCGTTTGTGCTTTCTGGTAAAATGCTTAAATACTTGATTAAGCTAAGCCGAACATACACAAAAAATTTCCAGATCATCAGACAATAGGTGTATAATTGTGGAAGTAATAATCTTGAGAACCTAAGAACATGGTAATTGAATATGTCGGAAACAGCAATTTACGCAATATCATCAGTATTTGAACATCATTTCAGCAGTTTTGCCTCATTCTCACAAATCCAGATACTTGTGGGAAGGGGTAAGGTCTGCGTACACACTACCCTCCCTAGACCCCACTTGTGGGAATTCACTAGGTTTGTTGTTGTTGGTGTTGTCTCACAAGTCCAGATACGTAGTTCCAATCCAGCCCAACTTCAACTAACTTCTACTTTCCACAAACTCATCTCTGTAAACTTTAATTTGAATGGCTTTTGGGAATCGGAACCTTGTGAAGTGTTCAAAAGCCTAACCCAACACGTAGAAGTCATTAATCGCCAGTGAGCATTTTATACTTTTATTTATTAATATTTAAAATTAGAGGCAATTTGAGATTGCAAGTAGACGCAAATCCACTGAAAAGCAAAAATTCATAAAAAGCCATAGAGAGCAATCTGACAATTGAAAATGAGAAGAAATCAACAGAGGTACCTCTACTTTGTCCCATTCTCCTCTTCTGCATCCTGTTACCAGGTTTGTAACAAGAACAGAACTAACGGTTGCTGCATGTCCATTAGCGTAATCTGCAAATTACCAGTGTAAGACTAGCAGAATTACAAAACTAATATACCAAGAATCATTTGGATCAATGGTAAACCTTTCATGAACTGTCGTGCTTCTGCTTCACTGGATGGTTTTTCCCTGACCATACCTTCATAGACCACCACCTCCAGATCATTTCAAGTTGAAATAAGATTAGGATAAGATTATTAACATAGAAAGTTCTCATACCATTAAATAAACTGAAGAAAACGAGAACAATTGGACAGAAAAAAAAATTCCCAAACATGTAAAGTAGAATGTCCCATCATCAGAATTCTTGTGAGAAGGCAATAGAGATAGAAAGATGATGCATCTGATCAAGTGGCAAACTGTTTTGAGAGGCGAAAGGCCCCGAAACAGATGGGGAATGGGGTGAGAGACTTGATCTTACAAATAGCAGTCTATTATTTAAATGGCTATGGAGATTCAGTGAAGAGAAAGATGAAATGAAGGAGGTCAAAGGTGTGGAGACTACTGGTGCAATAAACCAGTCAAGACCTCTCATGGTAGGTCTCTGGAAACAATTCAGCAAATTATGGAGTGATTTCCAACCTTTCACAAGATTAAAGGTGGGAATATGGCAGGAAATAAGATTATTGCAGGATAGCCAGACTGGATATGCTCCCCTCAAAGAGATAAATAGATATATTATCTAATGGTCACGAAAGATGCACTATAGCAGAATGCAGCAGTGAAGGGGGAAGGAATCTGAACCGGAAAATAAACATTCAGGATTGGAAAATGGGGAGTGTTACTTCGCTGGTAGGGGTGCTGGGGTTACATATGTCTATCAGATATAGACAATGGACTTCGAACTTTGAAGGAAGATGGTATCTTCTCCGTGAAATCTTGTTATCAATTCATGCAAAAGGGAGGAAATAGAAGGGTATAGACAGCAGCCGCGAAGGATGATCTGGAAAACTGAGGCACATTCTAAGGTAGCATGTTTTGGATGGTTAGCTAAACATGAAACATGTTAGACATCTCTTTCTACACAGTTAGAAGAAATGGAAGATCCGAAGCATGTCTCTAAACTTGATGGAGCGCGGTCGGTGATGCCTAATAGCCTTAACAGAGTAGTAGAAAGCTGGCAGGGACCTGAGGAAAGATCAGAGACAAGTGTGAAGAACCACTCTGTTGTGCACATCTCACCAGTTTGGGTAGAGATAAGTCATAGACCGCGAAGGGAAAGCAACACCCATATCCTTTATAAAATCTCACCGTCTTTATCTATTGAACTTTTGGTATATGATGAATTCGTAAATGAAATTTATAGCATATTCAACTTCCTAGACTTTTTTTCTTATAGGATAAGGTATTTTATTAGTGATAAGAACCAAGAGGGCACTTCAGAAATATAGGAAGAGAAGATCAAGTTCTCATCAATATTTACACCATAGACTACAAAAGCTCCAAAAGAAAAGATGGATTTTCCAGCATGCTACTCCTGGAGCCTTGTTGGTGCTACAGAAATCAATAAAAGACTCTTTCTTTATAAGTCCATAGGAATCGATGAAAGTTTTGCTTTGCCTATCAAGAAGAGGATGTCCTATCACCAGAAAGAAACTAGTGCATGAGGATGTAGAACAAAGTACATAGACTTCAGGATCATGCCATTGTAAACATCTCTAATAGAGGAATTATGACCTCAGATTAGTTAAGCTGAAAACAAGGGCGAGGCGGAAGTATCCTATCAAATTATAGCTGCTTCATTTGCCAGATTCACACCTCAAAACCAAAATACTGAAATAGTCAGAATCTTGGTGCTCTAGGAAAACTTAATCTTTATTTGTTATGACCAGGTGCAGTCATCAACTCAAAGTTAGTACAATAGATAAGTGGAGTCAGCTAGCTGAACACATTCTTTGACTTTTCAAAGAAACTTATGAAACAATTTTTCTAGCTAAAAGAGAGTTTAATCAACAAGCTATCAACTCGAAAAGCACAAACAAGCCTGCTATAGCCTCAGCTTTAGACCCTCATAAAGCAATGAAATCCTATTGCCATAAGTAGAACCAAACAGCTAACCATATGAATTATAGTTAAGTCGTTGCTTGAACAAACTGTACCAAATGAAACATGTTGCTCTAGGTTGTGCCAAACTGCCAACTCTAAATACAATATCTTGACCTGGCAAATCAGATAATAATTCTCTAAGCACACTAGGTATTAAAATGAATGTTGGCTGGTTTCTGCTTCTTAGACTAAAAAGTATTGGCAGTCTTCTGTTAAGCTTATATTGTATGGAGTTGTTAACAGGTATGTATCCGATATGCGTGTACTGTTAGCATCCGATACAGGTACGTGCAGTTTTCTGGTAATGTATTTTGAAGAATCAGCACTAGGTATGCATGTCCACGTTTACAAAGACACCACTTTATGATCAAACAAAAATTTCTGTAGAAGTGTCGTATTTTAACCAAACACCTTAAGTAAAGTAGTAAATTAGTTAGGGGGAAAACAAGAAAGAAAAAAAGGCTAATATTTTGTAAAAGCATCATAGTAAATCAATCGGATAATTAACCATAAATGATGACAAGAACAGAAATTAGGTATACTTGGTCACAGGTAATTAGAAGTGTTGGCTCGGCATCCCCTTCGGATTCACCAATGGAAACCCTTGGTATGATGGCTTCTGCCTGATTATAGTTCCAGCAATTCAGATCAATGCCAATTATGATGTATGCTTTCAGACTATAAAGCAAAGTCCAATAATTGCAGAATTCATCATGAGAAGAAAGAAAATATATGTGTAACTATGCAAGCTTGTGGACATCACAATTATCCTCCAATATCCTAAGAAGAAATCTAATCATTCTGAAAGAAGAAAAGCAAAACGAAAAAAGGTATATACAGTACAGAGCATAAGAAGCAAGAAAAACAATACAAGAAAAGCAAAAGCACATAACTTTTCCATCATTCAAAAATCAAAAGCACTGGCAGAAATAGCATATTATCGGTTTCAAATAGAAGCAAGAAAAAGAACTTCTGGTGGGAAGATTTAAAAGGCAAAAAAAGCAAGACATACTGTGTCAGCTGCAACCAAAAGTGTTGGATTGGAATCCTTCTCTAGGTTTTCAGTATTTCGAAATTTTGATATGATAGCATCAGCCTGACATGCAATGCAATTACATGGAATTAAAATAAGCATTTTCAAAACCAAGGCTTCAATTAAATTATGAGCCAAACCAATTAACTCAACTAGACCAGGAAATATAACAGCCTAAATGATTTGCCTAAAAATCTGATCCACAATCACAACAAGGTATGCAATAGAGCACTTCTACAAATAACATCAATCCCGAAATTGAAGTGACATAAATCACGACGAGATACTCTGAAAGGAATGCATCACGCCTTACATACAGTGACTCATAAATCAAAAACCAATGCCATAGACAAGAGTAAATCACAATGGTATCATCTATAACAGTATAAGCAAATGTGCCTTAACCCATTCAATATTCTATACAGCAATTTCAAAGCAGTAAACCACTTCAAGAATATGTTTTGAGATGCATGGATTTGCACAAGTTCTTAGGAAAACAAACCTTGGCCTCTGCAAGAGCCATAACTAAATCTTCGGGCTTTTCTTTCCGGATAGCTTTCTCATCTATATCTGCAGACTATGTTACAACAATGTGTAAATCCACCAATTTTAAAAACAATCAATCAACTACACCTCAATCTCAATCTAGTTGGAGTAGTAATATCAATCCTTTGTTATCTATTCAACTAAGAATTGTTAATGGAACACCCGGTGCATGCACCAAACATGACATAGTGTCTTTTATATACAGTTTTATCACTTAACAATACTGTTAATTAGTAACTATCATGGAGATTTGGTTCTATATCAATTACAAACGTTATTTTAGTTATATGACCTTTTTCATAGGTGATCAGTAAAAGGTAACACAAGAGATCAGTAAAAATAACATAGAAGATCTTCGAGGGACATTTTCTTCTATCCAAATTGTATGTGCGCATAGGAGATCATTTCCTCTAAGTATATTTTCCTCAATTTCACTTAACCACGGTGAATTAAAATGATTTGGTGCAGGAACTGATCCAAGTTTAAGTCTTTTTGAATTGTAAATACATCTCCACAGATATAGGAACATATTTATCCATAGAACAAAACAAACAATAACTGATAATTGGAAATTTACCATGGTTGTGAACTGGTATCCCATGTCGGCCAAAATTTTTCTACGTGCAGTAGAGGATGAACCCAAAATTAGCTGAAAATAAAGAGTTAATTGAACATTATATCCAGAAAACAAAATTAGCAAATATGCAAAAGGATTTAAATAATTGAACTGACAAAGTAGATAAATGAGTTCACCATAAGTAAAATAAGAGTAATTTTCCGTGAAGGAAAGCATTACCTTAAACTGGGGAACATTGGCTTCCATTTTCGCCGGAGACTGAACGACTAGCGAAGGTCCGATTGGAGGGAAATTTATGAATGAAGTGAACTGTTGGAAACGGGTATTGAAGCCGTTATAGTACAGTCAATTGCCCTAACCCGTTTACGTTTATTAAATTGATAAATGTCATCCAACTCAGCCAGAAAACTAGAAAATAGTACGAATAATCATATAAATATTTTTTGTATTTTTTATCACTTATCTTCAATTTTCATTAGATTATTCATTACTTCATCAAGAGATTTACGTGCAATTATGTTTACCCTCAAAATCGGATAACAATTGAATTTGTAAGTGGATTTAAGAATATGTGGACTAATTTGACACTAAATGATAAAATAGATTGCAATTGAAATAGTTACAGTCTTGGGAGGTTAGCCACTCTCGAACTGGATGCATTTCGATCGGTATCAAGGCATAGTTGAGTAAGAGCTTAAAGAGAAAATAATGTATTGCTTTGGAATGCGTGTTACAATGTGATAAACAAATTAGGAAAATTTTATTTTGTGTCTCATATAACTTACGCTAGTTGTATGAGGCAACTTTTTGTCTCACAGTTTTGTGGACCCAGAATTATGTGGACCCAGCAGTGTAAGATTGGGGTCCACAATTTTGTGAGACAAAAAGAAGTCTCATACAACTAATGTCAGTTGTATGAGACACAAAATAAAACTTCTCAACAAATTATAAGACCCTAGGGCATCCTACTTTAGGTATAATTCTATAAAAGGTAAAAATCTCTTGATTTACTAATTGCCAGTTCCTTATTGATACGTGTCGAGATTCCCGCCGTAATATTCGACCGGTCACAGATATTTCGGCATTTTGTTGGTTATGCTAAAAATGTTTCTTCGAGCTCGTTCGGCGTCAGGGTCGATTCCGGGATCACTGACTCGGTGTTCTCGAAGGCAAATATTATGACCTTGGGTGCGGTTCGGTAGGACTTGGGGTCGATCTTCAGCCCCTTATATTCCGAGCCCGACCTATCATGTCATGGACGAACCGGATTTCAACCGTATACAAATTATTTAAAAAATAACTTAATTGTATAAATATTTTTACACCGATAACCACCACTACTATTTGTGTACCGCGCCAAAAAGCTTTTAATTGTCTCAAAATAAGTGTCAAGATTTGACTCAACTTTACTCCCTCCGGTCCAAAATAAGTGATTTCTTAGATGTTTTCATACAGATTAAGAAATCCACCCTTTAACATTAATTAGCAATGAAATTGACCATGTTAACCTTTACTATCTTTTCACATAAACACTCCTAACACATACTCCAACACTATATACTCCAAGGGCAATGTAGGAAAAAAAATAATTAATTTATTCTTGAAATCTGAAAAAATCACTTATTTTGAACCGGAGGGAGTACTATTTGAAATATTACTGTAATAAATACAACTGAAATTTTGAGAATTTAGGTCGATTGGATAACTTTTTATGATACATTTAATCATAAAAGTATGAAAGTTAAAGTTTGAAATTTAAATTATAGATTTTATATGAGTTTCCTACTATATTTTCAACTTGAGCACGCAAAATAAAGAAATGTAACAATTAAAATGGTAGTACTATTATGAGGGTATTTGGCTAAGCTTATAAGCTGGTCAAACTGGCTTATAAACATTTTTTGGCTTATCTACGCGTTTGGTAAAATTAAAAGTGCTTATAAGTTAAGTGCTTATAAGCCAAAAATAAGCCAAAAGCATAAGTTGGTCTCCCCCAACTTATCAAATTTCAGCTTATAAGCACTTTAGGTTTGACCAAAATATTTACTATTCTATCCTAAAATACTTATTTTTAAAACAAAACTCTTCGTATATCCAGTTCTTCATCTGCATATTATTAATTTCAGCACTTTTATCCAAACACGTAACTGATTATTTTTTAAATAAGTTTCAGCACTTAAAAGTGCTTTTCAGCACCTAATGCTTATCAGCTACTCTAAATCAGTCAAACCAAACGGGCTCTATATATGACCAGATGGGGCTAATTGATGTTTTATTTCATCGTGCTTTACATATGGTATACTTTAATACCACATACTCCTCTATTTATTCTCTCACTTATTCTTATTCTTTCTTAGAAGAAGTGGAACTTTTCTTTGCATTTCTTGATCGCTCGCTTCTTTTCGCTTTCATGCGGAAGGTTCCCCTGCTTCTTGAGCAACTAGTTCGAGTGCAGGAGAATTGGGACCCTGCGGTGGTCGAACCTGAGAGGGCAAAGGTAGGGCATCGGGTCTACATTTAATTCAAACAGTGCCTCATATTTTAAGGAGCTAATTAAAAATAAAATATACGATATGCTTACAATAACAAAATGCAACAAATGCTGGAATACTTTAGTGCATTTTGATAAATGAAAAAGGAACAATCGCTTCCTAACTAAACTTTCTCTAGAATGGTAATCTTTGTCAACTTCATCCACCTCATAATTTTAGTCAACTTTTGAAAAATCATAACTTAAACAAATTAGAAATACGAGTTGACAAGTGTTTGAATTGTCAAAATGTACTTACTTTTCCAATCGCGCCCTTTTTAAAAGTTTGAAATGGTCGCACGCCCGAATTAAGGGAAATATTTGAAAATGTCATAAAAGCTCTTTTATAAGTATTACATGCCCGTATTAAGGTGATTTATGATTTTTGGCCTGTTTTAAGCAGTTTTTAACTTATTTTAAATAATTTTTAATTTTGTCAAATACTGCAAAAAGGTAAAAGAAGCTTAAAAGCTGATTTGACCAGCTTAAAAGCCAATAAAACACCCTCTTAAGGGTTTTATGATTCATCCACCGTATTTATAGTCAAATATTTATTTCCAATTGTAAATGTTTCAAAGATAAAAAATTAGCATTTAACAACATTTTTTTTTCAAATACTCCCTCCGTTTACTTTTACTAAAAATAGATTTTCGATTTTACTTGTCAACTTTCACATATCTTTTCAAGAGAAAAATAATTTATTTTTCCTGTTTTGTCCTTAGCATTAATTACTTATTCCAAATCCATTAAGACTATACACCAATTAATATGAGTAGCATGATAAATGTCATGGGCGGCTTTCCAGCCATGCCCCATGACCCCTTGGGCGCGCCCCGTGGCGTCCTAGCGAACCTCCCAATGCCTAGCGCCACGGACGGCCCCGTGGTCTTGGCCGCGCCAAGTGACAAGCGCGCAGGTGCCTCTGTCGCCCCACCGATATCCCTCGCGAGTGCCATGCCGCAGGCAGAAGCCAACAGCGCCGCGCGCGCAGACCGTGATGCCAAAGACACTGCTGCTGACAACGGGCCTGCTGCTGCCTTATAGAAAACTAAGTCATTTTCATTGTAAATATAGAGTAGTTTATTTCATGCACTTTCCATTATGTTTCTCTAGCTTAATTAGGTCTACTCCTGTAACTTTGGTTTATTTTTTTTAAGTACTATTAGGGGGGATCAAGCAATCAAAACTTTCTAGCAAGCAAGCAATTCTCTGTACTGGTGTCTCTCCCCCTCGACACCGCGTTGCTTTTCTGTAATAGCTTTCATTAATGCAATCAAGCTTTCTTTCATTCTGAATTCTCATTTCTGTTCTCTCAATTGCTCTTGACATTGGTTTTCCCGTACGGCACTGACAATCTCGTCTAGCGTACGGAGGGGACCTCAGTTGGCGGACAGCAACTGGACTGACATCAGTTGCCTAGCCGTACGTCGCCCTTCCAAGGAATCTCAGGAAGGCGCCGCGTATCAGTTGGTATCAGAACCAGGTTCGACATCGGACGAGGGAACGTATTGACATACCACCATTTCTGACCATGGTGAATCATGGGGACCGCATTGCGGCCCTCGAAGGGACGGTTGAGGTATGGCGACCTATCATGGATACGGTGCCTGAACTAAGAACCAGCCTACTGCAAAGGTTGGACGACCTGGACCGCAGAGTGCTTCAGGTCGAAGTTGACGTTGAAAACATCAGTCGCGACTCCGAGGGAGATCGGCAGACGGCAGCCACAGAGGCAGCCAAAATCTTTGACAAATTCGAGGGGGCTCCAACAGGAGCGCACNCAGAATGCAGCAGTGAAGGGGGAAGGAATCTGAACCGGAAAATAAACATTCAGGATTGGAAAATGGGGAGTGTTACTTCGCTGGTAGGGGTGCTGGGGTTACATATGTCTATCAGATATAGACAATGGACTTCGAACTTTGAAGGAAGATGGTATCTTCTCCGTGAAATCTTGTTATCAATTCATGCAAAAGGGAGGAAATAGAAGGGTATAGACAGCAGCCGCGAAGGATGATCTGGAAAACTGAGGCACATTCTAAGGTAGCATGTTTTGGATGGTTAGCTAAACATGAAACATGTTAGACATCTCTTTCTACACAGTTAGAAGAAATGGAAGATCCGAAGCATGTCTCTAAACTTGATGGAGCGCGGTCGGTGATGCCTAATAGCCTTAACAGAGTAGTAGAAAGCTGGCAGGGACCTGAGGAAAGATCAGAGACAAGTGTGAAGAACCACTCTGTTGTGCACATCTCACCAGTTTGGGTAGAGATAAGTCATAGACCGCGAAGGGAAAGCAACACCCATATCCTTTATAAAATCTCACCGTCTTTATCTATTGAACTTTTGGTATATGATGAATTCGTAAAATGAAATTTATAGTCATATTCAACTTCCTAGACTTTTTTCTTATAGGATAAGGTATTTATTAGTGATAAGAACCAAGAGGCACTTCAGAA